GTTTCTGAGCGGATTAGTGCACATAACTGTGCGGAGCAGACCCCATTGTTATGCTGCTCCATTCCCGTAGCTCCCTTGCCGCCTATATCTGATCCATGGGCAGCATTCCATTTACGTCAAAAATAACGTCAATCTAGTGAAAAAACTGCATGACTCACACCATTACTGTAGGGAACTGGTCTCTGTGTAATATGATATATAACATCCTAATTTCATACAGCATTTTTCATAACAGCTGCTAAAATCATCAAATCCATTAAATTCTTTTAAAGGATCCAATTTGAAGCAGTATTGAAAATAGTCTTAAAATGCAGGTATAGAGTGGAGTCCCGCTCACTCAAAACTCCTCTGTCATTAGCTACTTCATATCTTCCGTGTATTTATCTGTCCATATTTACTGATTCACCTGAGTCTTCTCCTGTTCTATATTTCTAGCTGTATTGAGTCAGAGGTAGGCTATTTCAGAGACTGGAGGGTCTGAAAAAAATAGATAAGAAAGCAGAAGAGGAAAAGGAAGTTTTCCACTGATGCTTATGGACAACAGAACGAGGGGCACTAGAGAAAAGAGGGAAAGAAAGAACTGAGGTCTTGGGCTGATGAAAGCAGTATGATATTATTGACTAAAATACCTGTAGAAAATGAATGACAATGAGAGAGCATGGCCACCTAAGCCTTTATATCTAGCAGCACATAACTTAGAAACACTGAGCCAGTTGATTTTCCCTGCCACACTGCCATTCATAAAACTAACAGCTTTTTCTGTTTGTAAGAATTTTATTTCTTGGATATATGTAAAGCCAAAAAAAAAAAAAAAATCCCTCAGTGTTGGGGGTTTTTGTTTCCTCTGATACTATATACTTCTGCAAGTTTGCAAAGTTAGCCCTTGACATGTATTTTTGTTTGGGAACATAAAGTAGGACCAAAAAGAGGATCCAAAGAAGGCAGAAATATGTGGAATTTACTTCCAGACTGGAGAGTGACCTTCCAGAAGGAGCATAGGCTTCTGAAGCCTATGCACTATTCAGTCTCTGCCACAGATTAACTGTGTGGTACAAGTTAGTACACAAATTGCCCTTCTTTGAGCCTCAGTTTTCTTACATGAAAAATAAGCTTAGACCAGAATCCCAAGGTTCTTTTGAGTTGCAATATTATGATTTTTGTATTACATGTTGTAAAAAGAGTATGTGATGCTCAGTCACCCTTCTGGTTACTTCCAGCGGCACAAATCTTGTACGTTTTCCTTCCGTGTGTACACACATGTCCTCTGATATTATTAAGGGGGGACGTATTACATGCAGTGTCTTTGGTAGGTGCTTCTTATGGACAGCATTCCTTCCAGCTTTCTTCTGATGTAAGTGCTATTAAGGAAAAAGTTTTCAACTCCATCCCATTTTTCTGGTTCTGTTAAAAAAAAATTTTAGGATGGAATGTAAATTACTGATTCATAATCCGTGAATCACTGCAATAAAGTAGCTCTGTGATATTTGCTTTCAGACCTTCAAAAATTGTTAATTGCATACAATGTGTTGTTGGCCACTTGGGTAATGGATTTAAGGCACAGCTTTTTAGATTCCAGCTAACAGCATCTTTAATAGATATAATTTCATGTGTGCACTCAAGCAGTTTTTACCTAGTCAGCTGATGTTAAAGCGGATACACCAGATTGCCATTTTTGGGTTGTCTGACACAAGCACCAGGCAAATTACTGAATAGTAATAGAGCCAGGAGTCCGAGAGTAAGTTTTCTGCACTATTAAACCCTGATAATGAGTTGTTCTGATTTTCTCTCACTTTATTCGTTCAACCCCCATTAATGGAGTACCTATTGCAGTCATGGATATTGGGTGCCATGCCAGGTCTTCAGGGCCAGCATTCTATTGCAAAAGAACCATGTTTACAAAAGTGGAGTGAGATTCTTCCTTGGGTCTTTTTGTCACTGAGTAGCTAAAGCTGTTATTAATCTAACCAGACAAAAAAAATATATCATCCAGGAAATAATTTACACTATAGTTTTCAATGTGTCATCCTTTTTATTTTTATGTTCTCTAACATATACAGAAGATTAATGATAATATTTCACATGTAGCCTGTTGGAGAAGTGAGTTTCCTGGACTAGTCACATCATATATGATTTTATAACCCAAAAACACCAAACAGCAATGGCATTAAAATCTTAAAACGGGAGCTTTATCAATACTAGCTAAATCATAGTGGATAGCCTAGTCGCCTGGAAATCAAAACACTAGAATAATCATGGTAGCTCATTAATTAGTTATGTAAATGAAGGCATGCTACTCAAGTTCTCTGAGCTTCAGAAGAGAAAAAAAAATACTTGATTGGTATCTCACGGGGCTGTTGTAAGGAACAAATGAGACAGAGTATGTGGTATGCTTTGTATTGTAGAGCATACAATCCAAATATGAACTAGATAAGGCATCAAACGTGTTTGTACTACATACAGTGTTTCTAATTATATTATAGCTTTTATCTATGTGATGTTCCACATTTTATGTGTAAACAAGAGCTTATAAGGTTGACTTTCTTCCAATTATCACAACTAATGAACTCTTAATGGGCAGCTACAAATGTAGATTTTATCAGAAAGAGGAAATTAAAGTGATCAAGGAATTATTTTTTTTCTCCCCTGACACATAAAAAGTAAAGAGACTACTAATTAGAAAATATTTAGCTGTTCTTTTTAAGTACTTGAATGATCTGAATTTTCTGAGTATTCATTCTTCATTCAGGTATAGGAAATGAAAAGTCATACCTTCTCTAAATATTATCATTCAATGGCTGTATTTACTGTGCAAAATGTAGTTAATTTTATTTGTTAGAGGCATATACTAAGTGCTAGATTTCATAGGTAAGAGAGGCACAAAGTGAGGTACTTCCTTCCTTTGGTTTTGTAATAGAGCGTATTTAGAGCACATCTAGAATAATGCTGTAAAAAGGAATTGCCTGGGCTAATAATAGTATCAGAAGTTGTTTTATTCTGTTAATACAAGTACATAATAATTTTCTGCAACTCAGTTATTTGCACTCAATTATTTTTTTTTGAAGTTTATTCCTTTTTTTATTTTTTTTACTTTTAATTGCATTTTAGGTTTTGGGGTACATGTGAAGAACATACAAGATTGTTGCTTAGGTACACACATGGCAGTGTGATTTGCTGCCTTCCTCCCCTTCACCTATATCTGGCATTTCTCCCCATGCTATCTCTTCCCACCTCCCCACCCCCCCGACCCGCCCCCATTTCCCCCCCCAACAGACCCCAGTGTGTAGTGCTCCCCTCCCTATGTCCATGTGTTCTCATTGTTCAACGCCCGCCTGTGAGTGAGAACATGTGGCGTTTGATTTTCTGCCCTTGTGTCAGTTTGCTGAGAATGATGGTTTCCAGGTTCATCCATGTCCCTACAAAGGACACGAACTTATCATTTTTGATGGCTGCATAATATTCCATGGTGTATATGTACCACATTTTCCCTGTCCAGTCTATCATCGATGGGTATTTGGGTTGGTTCCAGGTCTTTGCTATTGTAAACAGTGCTGCAGTGAACATTCGTGTGCATGTGCCCTTATAGTAGAATGATTTATAATCCTTTGGATATATACCCAGTAATGGGATTGTTGGGTCAAATGGAATTTCTATTTCTAGGTCCTTAAGGAATCGCCACGCTGTCTTCCACAATGGTTGAACTAATTTACACTCCCACCAACAGTGTAAAAGTGTTCTTATTTCTCCACATCCTCTCCAGCATCTGTTGTCTCCAGATTTTTTAATGATTGCCTTGCACTCAATTATTAATTCCTTGAACATGACTTCAGCTAATAACTGCCACTCTAAAAGTGTAAAATAGGATTAATGACCAAACTCCTTTATTTCTAAGGAGTGAAAGGAGTAGTAGTAGCATTTCAAATAAATTCCACCAGAGAGTACTTTTCCTTAATCAATATCTAGGTATATTCATGGGTACCTCTTCTTTAAAATGTTAACTTTTGGGTTCTACTTAAAATCTGGGTAGCAAAATTAAAGGTAGTAAGAGCCAGGCTAAAGAGGACTACATTGGATTCTCTCTGTGGCCTTTACTATAAATAGTTCATTTTCTTTATGTCTCACTTTACTCTTTTTTTTTTTTCTTTTTCTTTTAGTCTTATTATTTAAAGACTTAAACATTTACCCTTCGAAAAATCAGTGTCGTTTCTGGTGGGGAGAGAAGGTATTCAGAGAGATGAGTCAGAGGCACATACAAATAACTTATATGAAGTTAGAAGTTAATGAAAGAAAAGGAAATGTTTATCCTACTCCATCCACAATACTAGTAAACTAAGTATTTATTTTAACTATTTGTTTCCTCATTTGTTACCCAGACCTTGTTTTATTTCCCCAGCTACCATAAATTTGCTGACAAGGTAAATTCTTACAGGATTCAAAAAGGGACAGGTAGATTTTCAGAAACTGTTTGGGGTTGAAAAAATATATATTAAAATGAAAATGGTATAGTACCTGAAGACTACTAGTAAATTTTGCTACAGTAAATTTATGATAGTTACCTTCTTTTTCCTGTAGTTGAACTGGAAACCTGACTTCTGTAGGTTTTTTAGTCCTTGGTTTCTCTCCTTGGTTTTGAGCAATCTCAACTTATGATACACCTTCCTCTTGTATCTTTGGTCATCTGACTCCCCAATATGCATACACATAAATAATCAATACAAATTAGCACTCTTTATAATTATGTTGCAGGAAGAGTGTATACTTTTTGGATGTTAGATTTTTTTTAGTGCCTTCATCATCTTTAGTGTTGGTTTCTTCCTGTGACTTTGTATATTCCTCCTAAGTCCCAGTGATTTCTTGGTTATTTCTTGGTTACAGGCTGTCATGGTGATCCCCTGTTTCTTACCTAATGTTACTGGTTACCTTGAGATTTTATCAGTGTCTGTGGTCTCTTCATCAGTTCTCTCCAAAGGTTTCTCTCACTGATTATCTTACAATATTCTTAGACTTGAATGAAGCAGTCCCAGAGACAGAGCGCCTGGATTCAAAAGCACTAAAAACTCGAGCCCAGCTCTCCGTGAAGAACAGACGCCAGAGGCCTTCTAGGACAAGACTGTATGATAGTGTTAGTTCCACAGATGGGGAGGACAGTCTAGAGAGAAAGGTGAGCACCCCTGACCATTTTCTGATTCGTAGTGTTAGAGTGTATCCAGCTTATTGAAGATTATTTTTCTGCAGTCAGAGTCTGTGTCCTAGTTGGAAGCAGCTAGAATAGTTCACGTCTTTGTCTACTGAATTCTTTATATTGTTGTAATTCAAGATATTTTCTCTATTCATTCAATGAACTAACCAAGAGCATTATCCATACTGTCATATTTCATGATGGTGCTTTTGATATTCAATTGTTGGTTTTACTTAGTGGGAAATAATGAATGTACAAGTAATTGTTTCTTTAGGTCTTAGGTATATGTATTAGTGATGATGTTAATACGGTGAATTGTTATGAACTATGCATTCTCATCTTTAAATCAACAAAAACAAAAACTGGTTTATATGGGAATTCACTAATAAGAGATTGGTCTTATTTCAAAGTAAGTATTGCATAGACCTGATACTCCAGTGGCATAATGTTCCTTATAATCTCTTATACCAACAGCCTTCAAACAGTTTCTATAACCACATGCATATTACCAAATTACTTCCACCTAAGGGTTTGAGAACTTCTTCTCCAGAATCAGATTCTGGTGTTCCACCCCTCACCCCAGTGGCTAGCAATGTGCCCTTCTCGTCTGACCACATAGCTGAATTTCAAGAAGAACCACTGGACCCAGAAATGGGGCCTCTCTCCTCTATGTGGGGAGACACTTCACTCTTTTCTACTTCAAAGTCTGATCATGATATAGAAGAATCTCCTTGCCACCACCAAGCCACCAACAAGAAAATATTACAAGAAAAAGGTATTGTTAATTTTTTGTCTGATTTCTTAACACTTCAGCTTGTGCTGTATAAAAATGACTTTTTCTCATAATAATAAGTCATAATCATTTGTCTTCTCATAGCTAATAATTCATATTACTTTCTTTTTATGTTATAGGATAAGAGAAACAACCCCTTCATGTATTTTAGTTTAGTTTAGTTTTTTTTCTTTTCCTACCTGGTTCAGTATATTTATCTCTTCAACTCTCTACAAGTTCACTACTAAAGGGGGTTCTTCAGGGGAGTGGGGCAGCCCAGAGTTTCAACAAACACTAACATAGTCATATAAAAAAATAGAGAGAGCAATTTTGTAGAATAGCAGCCCAGAGTTTCAGTAAACACTAACTAGTCATATAGGAAAAAAATATGAAGATCAGAGTAACACAGACATATAATTGATGCTTAATAATGTTCTTGGATGAATTGCTAATATATTTCTCCATGTAACCAGTGTAGACCTTCTAGAAGAGGGGTAATCAACCAAATGCAGTCTCCACCTGCTTTTGTAATTGAAGTTTTATGAGAGTACAGTCACACTTTTTTACTTACATACTGTCTACTTTCATGCTAGAGTAGCAGAGTTGAGTCACTGTGACAGAGACTGTATATCTTACAAACCTAAAATGTTTACTCTCTGGCCTCTGACAGATAAAGAAAGCTTCCTCATGACTGGTCTAGAAGTATGTTTTCTTCAACATTGCTGGATAAACTCTGAAAAGGGCTTAATCATTAATTGCCATTTATCTAGAATTTTTTTAAAGTATTATACCATTACTTTTGGTCTATCAAGTTACCACAAAGATTATTATATTATAGCCATATTTGGTTGCAGGCTTGAGGATAGGGCTCTGGTTACCCTAATAGGAGTTGGCTGTTTTCTGAATTGTGTCAACACCACATTTACAAGTCATCATTTTTTTTTTTTTCATATCTTAGGAACATCAGTAGAAACTGGGATGGAAAAGTCCCATTATAACTGGCTAAATGAGAATCATCTAACTGAATGTCAAATTAGAGGAGTAAAATATTTTTTTCTTGAGATTTGTAAAACAGGTTATATGGAAGTAGAAGGCATGAAAATATTTTCCTCATTTCTATTCTGTAAGCAACCCAGTACTAAAATTTTGGTCCCGAGGTTTACACAGCACTGGGCCTTTGTTCAGTCAAGTTTTAAGTAGAGTAAATTGAGCACTATCCATTTTCTACTCACAGCTACTAGAGATTATTCTAATTTCTTGTGTGGTTAATAACACATTATTTTACCCAGACGATGTCTTCAAAAATATGCACTGGATCAATGTCCTAGTAAATAGAACCTGGCTTTTTAAAAGCTTTACAGGATTTATTTCATATTAAAGGCATTGGGCCTCTGCAAGTATAGATAGAGTACAATTATATCAATGCTCAGAAGAGAGAGAGGTTGTATCCAGCTGGGGTTGGTAAAAAAAAATTTGTCCAATGAAGTGCAATTAGAATAGTCATCAAAGCACTTAAGGAAAAAAAGGGTAGGTAAGGAAAGTATAGAAGGTAAAGTGATGTCATTAACAGAGACAGGCACACATAATATGATTTAAAGGAACAAGGCAATTGCAGCCTGGCTGAAGCAGTTTGCTTATGCAGGGTAGAGTGATTACACACAAAAGTGAGCAGGTAGGTTAGGTATATAGCTTTAGAATTTAAACATCTTAGATAACTTACCATATTACTAAGAAAGCACAAGAAGTTTAAGCAGAGGAATAAAAAGGAAAAGACACCAGGTATGGAAAAGCTGAGTTAGGAGACCCTGTGAGTTATGCCTTCTAAAGAGGACCAGCAGACAGTGACAGGAAAGAATGATACAAGGGATACAAGGAGCCTTGAGACATACATTGACTAGGTCACAGGGAAGAAAGTGAAGCAAAACTATCATGGGCTTCATACCTCAGAACATATGTTCTTGTCATTAACAGAAAATAGGAAATTACGAACATGATGGAGGAAATAGGATTAACTCATTTTTTCTAACAGAGGAGGTCATGAGCTCAAGAGAGAGGTCAGGGCTGCGAGGTAGATTTGGGAGTCCCCATTATAAAGGAAGAGATAGTCAAGTATCTTATTACAGCGAGATTAAGGAGATGCAGTCCAGTAAAAGACCTTAGGATTTAGCAATCAGGAGATCATTTACTACCTTTGAAAATGAAAACCAGGTTGCCACAGCTTAAAGTTGAGTCACCCAGTCTTGGGGCTCAGATGTACAATTGGTCACAAAGGTAGTATTGGAGAGATTTCAAAAAGCCTAACAGAAGTCTTACATAGAGCTAAACAAACAAAAGTGTGTGTTTCTTTTTTCCTCAAGTCATACCACTCCATTGTTGGTTTTTTTGCAGACTAGAAGTTCTGGTGTGCATTAAAGATGGATTTGATTAATTTAAAATGGGAAAGTACATTATTCCTTATTTTTAACCTCTTCAACCTTATGAAAGCATTCATTTCAGTGTTCCTGGGAACACACTTTGACAAATGTGTGAGATAATGTTGTGAGGTTGCCTAGTAGCAGGCTCTGTGATAGGCAAAATCAGGCTTTTAGTTGCGAGACGTCCAAATAAGTGGAACACTAATAGGCTACAGAGTGTTTCCATGTACATTGCCTTGGCTAGTCTTCTCACCACTCATTATAACATCTCCCAACTACCTCTAATTCAGAAAATAATTAGGCAGTCTCCTTTTAAATTTGCATAGTGCTAGCCATTAAGAGTTACTTTAGGATTGATTTGGAAGAATTTGGCACTTTCTTTTCTTCAGCTTCTATTAAGAAAATGTAAATCTTGCTTTAAAAAAAAAATCCATTAATAAAATCACCTTAGAAAGTGTTTGTGCCATGTCTATGGGTTTTTTTTTTTTTTTTTTTTAATGTGATTGTGTCACATCTGTGACAGTTTAATTCAGTTACCCAAAGAGTAATGATGCAAACATGCATAATAAATATTTGAGGCTTGAAGTGGATTTTGACACAGAATATTTCTGACTCTTATATTTCATTATGTACATTTCAATGAATTGATTATTGTAATCTGAGTATCATTAACTAAAATATGAAAAGCTCATTGCTAAAAACACCTGGAGTATTTGTCAGTGTGTCAGTGTCCTGTGCCGCTTGAGAGCTTAGAACCTAGACTCCTATCTGTGAATTGTGCATGTAGTTCATGTTTTTTAAGGGTATTGATGTGTGTTTAGAAAATTCTCTTGAAGTAAACAAAAATCATCAGCAACATTAACCTGCAAGGTTAATTGAACACTTATTTAAGGGAGCCATTCTCTTTGCACTCTGTACTAGAAAGTAGCTAGAAATTTAAAAAACATTTTAAAAGATAAGAGACAGAAAAACAGACACCAACAGAGAAGTAGGGAGGAAGAGTTTCACACACACACACACACAAACATCACATTTTAAACAGCATTTGTTAATCATCTGAGCTAATTGGATATGCTGAAACATGACGCTGATCAGTATCCTCTGCTGAGTAGTTTGGGTGGAGCCATAAGAGTTGTCTACCCTGTTTGAGATGGAACGAGTGCCACCCGTGGAATTGTTTCCCACATTGACATTGAACTCCATTTGCCAAACCTGTTTTCCTGTTGGTTTTGGCATGACTTCAAGGGTCTCCATTCCCCAGCAGCTGCCACCTTTGAGAGTCCTAGCAAAACTCAACGAGGTAGAGATCAGTCTGCTCTGAACACTGAGGAGATTTTGGCATCTTCACATTAAAGGGAGCCAGCCAAGTTGTGCTCTAACCTAACTATTAAGAAAGTCCCTTCAAAGATATAAATGTTTTGTAGCTGAGCTCCTGCTTAAGAAGTTTCCCCCATGTCCTCCCCTCCTCTGTCCCAGGACTGGCCATAGGACATTAGCAACGGAGAGCCCACAGAAGAAAACTTTGACTGATTTTCCCCCTAAATCTCCCAGACTCTCAGAGGTGATGTTCTGCAGTGGGCTTTGGAGATGTGGGAGAAGTGGGCTGGGTTCCTGTTAGAAGGCACTGCAACCCCAAGACAAGAAAGGAGTGGAGGACAGAGCCTAGGCACTTGAAGCCAAGAATTTGGAGCCAGAGAAGGAACAAAACAAAAGTCATGTTGGTCCCTACTTTGAATGCAGAGGATGATCTGATAGTGTTTATTCTCCCTTGTTCATTCCCATGCATTCGAAGCTAAAACTCTTTGTGAGGAGTGTTGAGCCTGTGTTCTACACAGGACCTCCTCTGCTTAACTGAGAGTTCCTCAGTGTAGTTATGTCTCCTATGTCGTGTAAGAAGGCATCCATTATTTCTTTTACAATTCGGGATTTAGGCAAAGCTCTTAGATTCAGAGATGCATTGACTTTTGAATTGTGACTTTAAAAATAATAATAATTGATCTTTTTCACAAATGTGTATATCCCAGATGATGCCAAAGATCCCAAATCACTAAGGGCATCCAGTTCGTTGGCGGTACAAGGAGGAAAAATTAAGCGGAAGTTTGTGGATCTGGGGTAAGCACTTCATGATGTAAAAAGAAAGCCATCTGTAAAAGGAAAATTAAAAGAGAAAATTTCAGGTTCCCCTTCTGACTGTGTACTGTCATTATAGGACGCCTTTGCGAAGGAATTCAAACAAGGGAAAGAAATGGAAAGAAAAAGAAAAAGAAGCCAGTAGGTTTTCTGCCGGTAACAGGTATGGGTGTGTGATTAATTACACATTTATTTCTATATTTAAACTTTCTGGCCCCTCTAACGTTGTTAACCAAAATCAGTGGTCTGTATCTTTGAGCTGAAGTGATATGCTGAGAATTGAGATGAAAGAAAAATTGCACTATCAGTTTATATAGGTCTTACTCCAATTATAACTCCACCTAACCTTGGGCATATCCATTGGTTCTTAATTGCAGAATTATGGCCACATGTACTGTTTCTATAACTGTTTATCTAAATATAGCATAAATATATCTACATGATACTTCAGACATAAAAAATATATTTATGTGATACTTCAGATTTTTTGCCTGGGTTAAGTCTAAAAGAATAATCATTTTGCAATTTAGTACGTTGTTGACATTCAAGATTGTCTTGTCCACATGTAAGAGTGACCACCATCTTTTGCTGGACTTGGCTATTTAATTGATTTTGTGGGCACTATCGACTATGCTTACTCTTCAATAAAGAGTTTCCCATAGAGAGTGAGCTTTGAACAGCATGTTGTCAAATTTTTCCAGTTTTCTCCTGAGATGATATAATTTTAAGCTGAGGTTTGTATGGGTAGTCAGTAAAGCATCAAGCTTTGCAGCCCAACTGCCTGGGTTTGAATCATGGCTTTCCCACTTAGAACTTTTAAATCTTGGACAAATGAATTACTCTCTGTGCCTTCATTTCCTCATGTAAAATGAGGGTAATAATAGTACCTTTCACATAAGGTCAGTGTAAGGATTCAGTGAGCTTTCATGTAAAACATTTAAAATGATAACTTATCATGTAGGAGGTATTCAAGAATAATAAAGATAACAATTTGCTGCTATTACTATTGCCTTACTATTTTTTGCAAGTTACAAAGTAGTTTTATATTTACCACTTCATTTGATCCTTATAAGATTGGGAGGGTAGATAATAATACCATACTTTGTTGATGAAGAACTTCACCTTCATAGAATTTAATTGATTTGCCCAGGGTTATTCAGCAGGCAGTTAGTGTCAGTCTGGGGCTTGTGCCTTCTATATAGATGTCTTTCCAACATATTATGCCACCTTCAGTTACTTATGCATCTAATGAGGCTTAAATTTCTTTGTGAAATTTGGAAATAGTCTCAATATCATAGACTAAGGAAGAAACAGACAAAATGCTAAAAATAAAAGACTATAAAATCATGTGGGGACCACTCTTCCACTTCATAGGTTGTCCACTGCTGTTTACTTTTCTTTTTTCTCTTTTCTGATGTATACCTTGGAGATAAATTTTACCTTCTTCTTGACATTTAAGGAAGATTGGGTGGGAGATGAGGAGAGATAATTCCCAAATTACTTATTTTTGTTAGTCTGGCTTTCCTTTATGCTGTACATTGGAAAAGAGTAGAATGCTGTCATATTGAGGACAACTGTCTCAGGAAAATAAAGGTAAACCTGAGACTATATGCAACTCAAAAGCAGTTTAACTTTGTGTGGTTTGGAAATGAGAATGGGCTACTTTGTGTGTTAAATTTAAGACTAGAAAAAAGAAATAAGCATACTCAGGGAAAAAAACAAATGATGAAACCATATGAGAGAGAGAGAGAGAGAGATGGATAAGTACACAATGGGAGAGAAACATATGTCAGAAATGACACTGTCCTTCCTTTGGTCTCTGGGCTTTGAAGACAATCACTCCCACCTTTGAGGCACCACCTGAGAGGGATGTTAAGTACCTGCAGCCAGAAAGGGGGAGAGCGTTTGATGGAATTTTGCCGTGGTAGCCAGGGATGATCACCTCCTTGTATAAATTGCAGATGAAAGTCAAGCCAATCTTGATTGTGTTGGTGAGTGCTCACCTACCTCACTATAGGCAAAACCATAGCTTGTCAAGGGCAGGTGGCCATCAGCACATTGCTTCATCACAGCTGATGCCCACTTAGAACCCACAGCTAGACTTCAAGATTGGCTGCCTAGCCACTGCTGTATTTTTAAAACTCTGGAGTACCCCTGCTTCAGCAGTCACAAATTATTGCACACATACAACACTACAAACTAGTTTCTAATTAGAATCATGATTTTGATCTTTTGTAGTTCATAAGCCTAATGATTGGGTGTTCACAGGCATGTGTGAGATATGCCTCCCTCAAACCTTGTTATGACATTGGCACAGCCAAAAAAAAATAAAATCATAGTTTTATAATTATTTGTAATTATAGTAGAATTTGGCAGGATGGAAAGGAATTCATATAATTAAAATAGAAGAACAAGGGAAGAAGAAGGACATTTTTCTCTAGCAAAAAAATAATAATTTTTGAGCTGTCATAGTAATTGGTTAACACTAATGAAATCTAATGACAGCCTATATTATTCTGTATAGATTGATAATGAGCTCAGAACCTTATAAAACCTATTCTAGGAAGAACAGAATTGCTGCCCAGTAGGAGCTTAATGCAATTGAGTTGGATTTTCAGGGCTCTGAAAGTTAGTGGGCTGTAAGCACCATCAGCTGCAGGTTCACACTACAATTGTGGGGGCCAACCGGGAATATGCGCACCATCCCTGGGACTGGGAGGCTTCCTCAGAAAAAATAGAGAAGGATCCTTGGACTGAGTAATTTTATCTTTTTGAGGCATTTCATCCAATTCTTATTAGGCTATTAAAATTCTGATGAGATCATTGGTCAGCTATAACCTTTGGCTGTTAGATTTTAAACAGGCAAAATTTTCACTGTTTGGTCTTGGCTTTAGTTTTTTCCCCTCTATAAAGAGTTTACCCTGTTGTGTTCCTTACAGATACATAATGACTCAGATACATGCACAGCATAAGACAGCCAGAGAAAATGGATGAGGCTAATAACAGTAAATAAACTCAACAAAAAAAATATTTGGTTCCATCCCTTTTCAAATAAGTGCTCAGTGCTATTGTCTTTTTTGGGGGCTTTTTTTTTTTTTTTTAGACAGTGTCTTACCCTGCTGCCCAGGCTGGAGTAAGTGGCACAATCACAGCTCATTGCAGCATTGACCCCCTGGATTCAAGTGATCCTCACAACTCAGCCTTCTGAGTAGCTGGGACTACAGGCATATGCCACTATGTCCATCCAGCTAATTTCTAAAAAGTTTTTGTAGAGATGGGGTCTTGCTATGTTGCTCAGGCTGGTGTTGAACTCCTGGGCTCAAGCAGTTCTCCTACCTCAGCTTCCCAGAGTGCTGGGATTATAGGCACAAGCCATCACACCCAGCCAACATTCTGATTTTAAACAGGCAGCATAGCAGATAACAAAAGCAGGAAACATTTAGCTGTCAGAGCTCGTTCACCCTGTAAAACATATACCAAAGGGTATAATAAAATCCTAACTTATATGCTAGAGTAAGTAGCCACTCATGTTAGTGGAACATCTACTTTGAGCTCTGTAGATATGTTTCCAGTAGAGTCACTGAATGGAAAACTCTGTGAGATGTGTGAATCTCAGATGGGGTTAGGTGATAATATGTCGAGAAAATGACAAGTGAAACAGATGGCATGCCTCTTTGGAAATGAATTTGCATTCACCTGAAAGGTGTGAACAGCAGGAAGAACACTGAGCTGGAATCCAAGTAGTAGTCCTTACTTTTCCATAGGCAAGTCTCTGAATTCCTAGGACCTTGGTTTCCCACCAAAAAATAAGTGGTTTGGGCTAACACTGCATGGCTCTAACTCCCCATTCACCTCAGTGTTGCAACCTCCAATATGGTTGCCTCTAGTAAGATAAGGCTAGTCTATATTGAGATACGTGTAGGAGAATAATGAATGCTGGACTCAAAGACTTAGTATGAACAAAAAGAACATAAAATATCAGGAGACCAACACCAGCCTGACCAATATGGTGAAAATCCATCTCTACTAAAAATACAAAAATTAGCTGGGCGTGGTGGTGCACTCCTGTGGTCCCAACTGCACAGGAGGCTGAGGGAGGAAAATCACTTGAACCTGGGAGGCAGAAGTTGCAGTGAGCCAAGATTGCACTGTGGCCTGGGTGACAAAGCAAGATTCTGTCTCAAAAAAAAAAAATCTTATTAATAATTTAATAATATTGATTACATGTCAAAATATTTTGGGTTTGGAGGGTAAATAAAATGTATTATTGTTAAAATTACTTTGCCTCTTTTTTTCATGTGGCTACTAGAAAATTTTAGTTTACAGTGTTTTCTTTTGGATAGTATTGATCTGTATGAGTCCATGAAAAATCTTTAATTTCTGCCCCATTATTCAATTGGCCTATTGAGTGAGCATATATGCATATATTGTTTATTTTCTTAATTATTTCCATTCTACTCGGTATTCCAAAATAATTTGTTTGCATGTAAAAGTACATATGTTATAGCAATATAATTTATTAAAATGTGAAGTGAATAGGGAAGAGTTAGATTAAAAAGTAAAATTATTACTTAAAATACAATATCTTCAGTAACATCTTCATAGTAAGTATCACAGTAACCTTCCAGTGAAAGATAAAAACACAATGTCAAAAGGGTTAAAAGCCTGGGTTGAAATCCCAACTCTGCCACTTATCTTCTTGGACAAGTTACCTAAACCCTCTGTATCTCAGTTTTCTCATCTATAAAATGGAGATGTAGACACACACACACACACGCCCCCCTCTTCATGTTATTGGGAGGATTGAGATGGCCCATTTACATATATTTCAAATCCTTAAATAAAAATGGCTATTTTTTTCATTGTTTAGGTTTAAAGCAGGTTTGATGGGAGGGATACAAAATGATATTCTTCTTGCGTATTTTGCTGGCAGTTTTGTTCATCCAAGGATGATTTTTGTTATATCTTGCAGAATGAATGGGCTATATGGATTATACTTCAGGCAGTCCTTCATAGGCTATTTCTCTCAAAGAGGCTTTAGATAAATCATGGCATGACAGCAAGTCTGAAATTATATCCTATGACAAGTACCTGGAGTGTAGCTCTATCCTGTTGCTGAGTAAGAGCAAAACCCCTGCTTAAGAGTCATCTGAGCTGACTGGAAACACACATTGTAGGAGAACTGATAGAGATGAGCACATGTGTGTGAATGGAAAAACACCTCATCTCTGCCTAAGGCTGGCCCAGGGAATGCAGTCATTTTCATGGAGACCTTTGAAAAATATCAGCTTAGGCTGAGTAGATTAGACTTATTCCTTATAACTGTCTGGCCCCTTTTTAGCTGCATTTATCAATTTAGTATTTAGTTTTCTATTTAAGTACAGTATGTCAAATGCCTCAAGCCTGACAAACTTACATTCTTAACAAGCAAACAATTTTCCATACTTTAAAAACCTCTTGAAAATCTATTAATATTTAACTGTAGTGACTCTAAACATCCCAATACAGTTATGAATGTGATTAGTATATCTTGTACGTTACAAAATCAAATTTAAAATGAGTTTAGATCATTAAAATGAGTTAACGTTTAAAGATAGAATCAGTGTACGCATTTCTCTTTCAGATTTATATTCATATAAATTTTCTTAAACACCTAAGCAATATATCTGTTATTCTTAAACTTAGCACTTATATTTTGATAGCATGGATTTTATTTACATGATCCTCTTCTATTTCATTTTAAACCTTTTCAGTATGGAGAGGACTCATTAAGGAATAGTTTCACCATCTCAAATGATTCAAAGCTGAACACTACAATGACCATATCAGATGGACTGTTACTTATTGATTAGAAACTTAGATCAGAACTCAGGATCTGGGAGCAGGATATGTCTGGGTAGGGGCAGGGGTTGGCCCTGAGCTACAGAGGGACATGTTTCTCACAGCTGTTACGCATTATGGTCTCCAGGTACCCTTTAGATGAGGCTAACTTTACAACCTCAGTCTCCTTGGTGGATGTTAGAACCTCATAAAATTATTTCATTTGATTTAGGTAAATACAAGTCTGCAACTCTTCCTCTGGTTGCAGCTAACTTTCTTCAATTAACTTCCTTTACTCCTGCCTTGAATTCTGTATTCCTTTTATACTTTATCTGTTCTGGCAGTTTCTGAACTCTTAATATTTTGAAGACATCCAATTAGATGCTGAATGCTTCACACACCTGTATTCAAAGTTAAAATAACAACAAAGATCACCTTGGAATGTTTAGCTAGCAATTTAATTTTGGGGTACCAGCCCCAGAATAAACTGGATTCAAGATATATTTAAATGAGTTCATTACTTGAAAGAGATATCACATAAACCATGTAAATGCCAGGAAATAGCTACCCCCAAAATGGCATCTTTGGATTATGAAAACTGAATTTGAATCCACTCTTTCTCCCAGTTCCTAGGAATGACTGGTGATTCTGTTTTTTCCAAAAATGATAGCAGCCACTAAATTAGAGCTTAAAAAGGTGAGGAAATATAGGATATATGCCTATTTTCATCCTTTGGAAAAATTATTTTCAGATTCATCAAGAGTTCATTTCTACCAATCTCGATTTTGGGGAGAAAGGAAGGTGAAAAAGAAAGAAAAGGAAGGAGGGAGGAGAAGAAGAAAGGAAGGAAGCAAATAAGAAGGGAAAGAAGGATTTTGTGTTGTTCCTAATGGATTTCACCACCAAGTGGAATAGACTGTAAGAGTGGTCAGCACAGAATAACTGCTGCCAAATCCTTTCTGCTTCTATTGTGGGCCCAAGAGTTCAATTTATTCAGAAGGAAATTGACGTTTATTTTAGAAAGCATGTCTGCTAAGCCAATAGGTCCGTAATTTTAAAGTAAAAATTTCCTTTTTTAAATGAATATTCTCTAGGTCCAAGAAATCAAAGCATACCACTCACTGTTCAGTTCTTTAAGAATACTAGCAAGTATCCAGGGGTTATATCCATTCATGGAGTTTTAAAATCACAGATACACACAGAGAATTAAGAGATACAGGATATAGCTTCAGCAGGGGCACAGCCAAGCCTCACGGGGAACTGAAAAATATTCTTTAAAATATCCCTGAATCTGGTAGGTTGCCACTGTAGAGACGTAGGTGTCTCCTCAGAATTGGCCTCTCATTACATTCTGCTTGACCCTTCCTCCTTCCTATTAACCTGATGTGCAAAGCTGGGGAAAGAAAGCCTGTGGGTATCACCAGAGGCCCAGCTTCCATGATCTCCTTTGCTGCATCATGTAAGAACTACATGGTCTCAAGACCCTCCTCAGTGCTGGATACAAAGGTCCATGTGGAATTATTAGTCTTGAATATTTTTCTGACAGTGAAAATGTTGTGAATGAGTTTAATTAGATGTGACCTTCAGATTTTTGTTTTCAAATGTTACTTGGACAGGATTTGGAATACTGAAAGTTCTTTTCAAATAAAGCAATAGAATGACTATAAGTAGAAAACAATTCTTATTTTCTCCCTATTTTTTTAAAAAAAGGTACTAGTGATTGTTCTAAAAGCATTGTTACAAAGGCTATTCACTGGGAGTAGGACAAGATTGTCATGCTGTCATTAACCATGGCCTATTTCTAAACTTTAAAACATTCATATATTTAAGCACTACTATACTTTATTACAATTGTGAATAAAACTTTTTTAAAAATTCCTTTGATTCAGTAATCTATAACCAGAAAGGATAATGATAATCAGGTCTACTTTTTCCTCAGAGATGTCCAGTTATAAGAGTGTGGGACTGCAGAGAAAATATTTTTATGTTTCTGCATAGCTAGAATTTTCTAGGCATTTTTACTAGAATGTAGAACCTAAGCTAAAAAACAAACCTCAGAAATTAAATTAAGAAGCTAAGAGTGGTAGTTCACACCTCTTATCACAGCACTTTGGGAGTCCAAGGCAGGAGTTCAAGAGCAGCCTGGGAAACATAGTGAAACCCCTATGTGTACAAAAAAATAAAAAAGTTAGGCACAGTGGCACACGCCTATAGTCCTAGCTACTCTGGAAGTGGAGGTGTGATGATTGCTTGAGTCTAGGAGGTCGAGGCTACAGGGAGCCATAATTGCGCAACTACACTCCAGCCTGGGCAACAGAGCAGAACCCTATCTCAAACAAACAAACAAACAAAAACAGAAGTTGAATTGTGAGTGCATAGTGAGAACTCCAGAGAGATTTGCCTCTGCAGAGGTAACGTGCTTAGATTTTAAGGAGGCTAACTGGAAGAGGGGGACGAAACCAGCTCCATGGAGACATTCCTAGAGTTGTAAATCAGGAGCCACTAGTCATATCTTTCCTTAGAGACACATGTTTACGTCCCAGAGGGTCAGTGCCCAAGATCCTTCTCAAGTTGAATTCTCTCTACCCTCCCCAGAGGCTGCAGAGGGGACAGCTGTCTCTCTCCAGATTTGTATTTTTGGAGTATATTTTGGAGTTTTGGTCACCTAGAGTGTAGACCATGTATACAATGACCTCTGGTTCACTTGGCATGCTGATCTCAATATTTTATCAGAATCTCACTGACTTCTTCATTCTCTTTATCAGTCTTATAATCCCTTTACATTTTTATCTTGCTTTACAGTCTACAAGATGCTTTTTACATTTATTGTCCCATTTGATTCTCACAATAATATTTGGAAATGGAATTGTTAGGTGTTACATTATTTCTGTAAACTGGAAATATATTTCAAAATTTATTTGAAATGAGATGTAAGAAGACTGAAACTCAGTATTCATGTGATGGGACAGAAGTTGTCTGGCTATGGTATTCAGGTACTTTTAATTAAAAGGGAATCTTTATGTTGTCCCTGATATCAGCAGCTATCAAATAGCAAGGCTGAACTCTTCCAAGATGTACATAAACCACTGCCCTTTTCTACTTTGGTTTCTAGTAATTTTTTTTTCTCTTAACCAAAAGATAATTACAAATATGAAAGAGTTTACATTAAGACGAAAAAAATCTGTTTTCAGACTGTTCCTCAAATGCCTTTGAATCCTTTAAATGTTAAATAATAAACAGACTTTTGAGTTTTTGAAGCACTTTCACACATATTATCTCATTTAAACAAACACATATGAGATACATAAAAATATCGACCTTTTACAGATGGAGAACTAAAGGCCAAGAGAAGGCCTGAGGCCATGTACTCAGGGTGATAAACTCTCCAAGTGGGAGATCAGGACTTCAAATCTCCTGCCCCTCCTGTGAAAAGGCACTACGATTCTGGTGAAAACCCAATAAACTATGTGTTTTACCTAAAGTATTATGAACCCTGAAATTTCAAAATTATTTAAATATATTATTTTCTTAAGTCTCAGGCCCTTGGGAACACAAGTCCAGAGGAAAACAGGAAAGAATGCTGGTTATGAACTAATGTCAGTAGCAGTGAGGCATGTCACCCAGATAAAGGGAGTGCTGTGATGATTAAGCTAATAGCAGTTCGTAAAAGACTGTGCTCCTCCCTGATTGTAATTCATCCACATACACTTATTGGGCGCATTTTTTAAAAATTTACCATGGCAAGAGCAATACAAAACTGTTGATCATTGTCAACAGAATCAATTTAGAGACAAAAAGATAACTGTTAAAATTAGTGTTATAGTCAAAAGTGAAAATTTTTATTCTGTTGAGTAGAACAATTCTCAAATCATTACTTCAAACTTTATTCAGAGTCCTCTGGTTGAATAAGTCTTTTATCTGTACTTTATCTAACACACCCATTCTTCTCACAAAACAGGGTCTTCAGAGGCAGACTGGAAAACTGGACACCCAAGCCACGTTCAGCAGCTCAGACCTCCACTCGTTCCCCTTGCATGCCTTTCTCATGGTTTAATGACAGCCGGAAAGGATCCTATTCCTTCAGGAACCTGCCTGCACCTGCAAGTTCCCTTCAGCCTTCTCCTGAGACTCTAATTTCAGATAAAAAGGGGTCCAAGGTAGAAAACACATGGATTACAAAAGCAAACAAGAGAAACCCAAATCCCTCCTCTTCTTCAATCTTTGGAAGGCATTCTCAACTTATGTCTGTAGTCTGGATCCAAGAAACCAATGTAATAACACTGCAATAAACAATGCATGGTATTTCTTATGTAGGAAAAAAAAAGCCTCATTTAACCATCACCTTCTTTAATACTGTTTCATTCTAGATTGTACATTACTCTTTGATTTGCCTGTCTTTTCATATATTGCTATTTAATCTCAGTTTGACAGTTAAGCCATGCTGGGAAAGATGCATTTGAATCATAGAACAGAGTAATAGATTTGTTTACCCAGTATTCTACTTTAAATTACATTACTAAGCTATTTCATCGTGCTTCTCGAAATTTACTGAAAAGCAAATAAATTTGGGACTGAATATGTGTTCAGTACATCTAAGTGAAACTCTAAAACAAACCAATGCTGACATAGCACCCTTATTTCTTCTTTTAGTATCCAACTTCTATGTTGAATAACTGCTGTATAATTCTATCACCAAAGTTCTTTAACCTAATTAGGAAATATATGCATGGGTGTCACTTGTTTTAAATGCATGATGGTTATTTCCAGCATGACACTGCAAATCTTATCTAACATTTTATTGAAACACATATGGTGGCTAACTTTCACATGTTGTTTGGTCTCCTTTTATCTGTGTTCACTTTTCTTTCTCAAACAGAAACGTGGTTAATGTTACTTGAATTTAATTCTTTTCAGTTTCAATTAAATCTTTTCAACAGCTCAAAGGGTTTTGACTGGGATACCAAATGGTAATGTTCATGTTAAATGTCCTGCTGCTTAAATGTTCTGCTGGCCTACCTCTGTGTGCTCTAACTTAGACTTCTTTTCCGAAGTTTTAGCAAACTTTGGAGTTTGTTTGGTACTGAAGTCTCCAGCTTCAGGCATGGTATTTATTTTTGATAACCAACTAAATCCAGTATAAGGGAACCTAGTGGAAAACTAACAGTCCAATTCCTAAGGAAATGAAATAGAAACAAGATGGTGTTGGTCAAGTGCTTAGAGTTCCTGGGAATCCAGCCATTTTAGAATTACTAGCAAAAGAAGCTTTGACAGTAGCACATCACTTTGGTCTTGAAACATTTTCAATATTGGATCTGAGACATCTAAATGCTATTTGAAGAATTCTGCCATTATCTTGCACTGTAGAAGCTCCAGATTTGGTTAAAAATGTTTTTTACAAGTACAGCTATATAGTCATTGTTAAGTTGTTTGATTTTTATATCCACCAAACATTTTAATGAAGTTCTAGGGAAGTTTTATTTACACACTCCCACCTTCCCCTCCCCCAGGTGATTATTTAGTAACCTGTGTCTGTGCTGTGTGGCAGCCTTTTTGATACTCTGCTGGTGCTGTGAGAGAGTTGTATTTCAGCATGTAACTACTAGTGTATTGTCAGACTCTGACCTCCCCCAGAACTCATCATCTTGAAGGGTACATCCAGGAGAGGATCTGCCATTTCTCATAGTATTTATCACGGCCAACAACAAGCGATCCTTCCCAGGGGGTGCTCTAGCTACCTTTCTAATATGAATTGCCATCTGTTCCTAATAACTCAGCCTCTCCACACCATCTTGTATTTTTACTTACACTGTTACTCATCACGATTAGGGTCAAAAAAGATAGGCTTATTAATATTACTCTTCTGAGCAGTTGCAGAGGATAATGAATTCTGTACCCTTGAAGAGAGATTGAAGAATTATTTCTCTACAACACCTATCCTTTCATCACATGGAGAAAGCACCAGAATTCCTGACTTCCCTCAAACGCACAAGGTGCAGCATTCTCAACTGCTGCCCCATTGAAGGTCATCACCAAATCAAACATGAGTTTCTGCTAAGATTGTTTAAAAGAGCCTTTTTAGAGCTTGCAAACACACCTACCTACTTCTTGCTCACTCACGGCACTCATTTAACACTGAGCTTCATTTATTTTTACAGAATTTTACCTTCAATGATGACTTCAGTCCCAGCAGTACCAGTTCGGCAGACCTCAGCGGCTTAGGAGCAGAACCTAAAACACCGGGGATCTCTCAGTCCTTAGCACTGTCATCAGATGAGGTACTTTAATGGCACTGTGACAGAACTGCTTTGTCAAATCTGACATTTTACCCATGAACCATCACCAGGAAAATGTTTTTAGGGTAGATCTTGCATAGAAATCATCAGGACCGTAGTTTATATTTAATATGAAGTCTTCATGATTTCTCTCCCTCTCTTTCTCAACACAAAAGCAAAGTCTTATCCTTAAGCTTTCCAGGGGGTTAAGCTTTTATGTGTATATGTAAACACACATGATGAGGAGGCTGGGAACTGTAGGGTAAACATGGAACTTTAGAAATCACATAGAAGTTCACAAATTACTCATTCTTTTTTTTCTTGCATCCTCCCACAACCACCCTCACCCAAAGATTCTGATACTGCCTCTGATTAGACTGTTCTGATTAGGGTGAGGTCTCTGAGAATCATTGCAGTAGACATGGACAGTTTTGATAAAGAAGGAAAATAGGCTGAGAACCATTTATTTAAAAGCACAGGTCAAAATTAGTATTGCTACAAATTATCGGGAGATAAACGTGTACAAGAGAGTCAGGAAATGAGGTTAGTGATTAACTTAGTTCCTCAAAAAATGGGGGAGGACAGAAGGCATTATGAATAAATATATTTTTGCTCTAAGTATTTGTTCTTACTATTTCTTTCTAACATGATTTTTGATTCATAAAACTTTTTTTTTTCTCATAAGCTTTTCTGCCCATATTCTTCAAGCTTGGTGCAATTTTCATTTTATTAAAATTGTGTACTATATATGCTGTGTCTCCAGTTTCTGTAACATGTTTCTTCTTGATTCTTTTATCGCTCCCTCACTCAGAGCCTGGATATGATAGATGACGAGGTGAGCTATCAGTGGGCTGTGTGTGGTGGCTTATGTGCTATTGTTTGAACATGCTTTTTCTCTCTTTGGAGATGATTGAAAAATCAGACAATACAAGAACACCTTCCTCTTTAGTGAAGGGTTACCTTGTGTTAAATAGTTTTACTCTCCGCCCTTATCATATCTTAGTTTAAAAGATGTTTTTAAGTTAAGAGGATCTCTGCATTGCACCTCCAGAGTTCCTTGATTTATCTCCCATCACCATTACATCAACATGGTCCATTCTTTTTCCTCTCCTTTGCCTTCATCTTGGCTTACCCTGTCCCTTCTGTGTTCCCTGTGTGGGTCACCAAGGTGACTCCTTTCCTCCAAGACATCATCACCTTCATCTACGCTCAGCTTAGTGGGTCTAGAAACCAACCTGTCCCTTTGCACTATTAAAAGGAATATTCTGCAGTGGACAGAGCCAGAAATCTGGAATAAACTCGTAACGATTGAGCTCTGCCACTTACTGTGTGATCTTGGACAGAGCACATAGACTTCCTGAGCCCCAGTTTTGTCTTTTTTTTTTTTTTTTTTGAAACAAGTCTCACTCTGTTACCCAGGCTGGAGTACAGTGGCACAATCTTGGTTCACTGCAACCTCCGCCTCCCAGATTCAAGCCTCAGCCTCCTGAATAACTGGGATTACAGGCATGCACCACCACACCCAGCTAATTTTTGTATTTTTAGCAGAGACAGGGTTTTGACATGTTGGCCAGGCTGGTCTCAAACTCCTGGCCTCAAGCAATCCACCCACCTCAGCCTCCCAAAGTGCTGGGATTACAGATGTGAGCCATCATGTCCAGCCATTTCCTCATTTCTTAAAAGCAGTTAAGGATATTATCTGCCCTATCTTCCTCACATTTTGCTTGCTGATCAAATGAAATGGTGGTTGTGAAACTTTCCCTAAGAAGGCTTGAGAGCTTAATGCTCTCCTCTCCCAAGTGAAAGATACTTCAGTGTTTTTACAAAACTCGAATGTGTTATTAGAGGATAAGTGATGCATTACATGCAGATATTTATGAAATACTTATTTTCTACATCTTATAATCTGTCCAGACTGTTTTGATGTAAAAGTTTGCAACATAGTGTATTTTCTTCAATGTTAAACTTCCTACATTAATAATGGTGCTTTTTTATTTGGGGGAATTTCTAAACTTTCAAATACATAAAAACATATAGGGTAATAAGTATATTTTTAATACCACTAGAACCATTAGCTTATCACATTTTGGTTTAAACATAAACGTGGCTCTCATAGGTTAAGAAATTCCCTTTGATAGCATAATATGAGCCATAGTATCTTGGTCTTTTAACAACACTATGTAACATTCCTGTCTCAGATCCTTGATGATGGACAGTCTCCCAAACACAGTCAGTGTCAGAATCGTGCCGTTCAGGAGTGGAGTGTGCAGCAGGTTTCTCACTGGTTAATGAGCCTAAATTTGGAGCAGTATGTATCTGAATTCAGTGCCCAAAACATCACTGGAGAGCAGCTCCTGCAGTTGGATGGAAATAAACTTAAGGTAAAGAATTATACGTCTGTGTTAGGTTACCAGGTATAATTTGTATTACTCATAGCATCTAAAATGTTTTCATTAGATAAGAGCATTCTGCATATCTGAGAGGTAATTCTCATCAACATTCAGCAGAAAGGATGTTGAATTCTTTCTGAGTAGTAAATGAAGTTTCAGAAAGTCCATTAGGGGTTCTAAATCAAGTGGTAGGCTGCTGATTAAGAGAGTGAGGGACCCACTCCATTGCTTCCACCTGGTAACACATGGTCCATGTATTAACTCTCCTTACTTCTGATGCAGTATGAGTTTTAATAATGGCCACTGTGTACTTATTCATCACATTAGAATTAAGACCCAGATCCATGAATCTTCTTTTCCTTACTCATTTCTCCTTCACCTCCACTCTTCCGTACACACCACTCTCAAATGGGATGACATTCTCCCCAGAAGTTTTTTCCCCAAATATGTACACACATCTTCCCTCCCCTCCATGGCACTTTCATTTCCACTTGTCCAGTCCATCTCTCTTAGACACCAAGGTGGCATCCATCCCTTTGGGAAAGGGAAAAAGGAGCTTACAGCCTGCTCTATGCACCCCCAAGCCCTACCCCGGCTTCAGCCCCCTGCTAGGCTGACCGTCAGATGAGTATCTCTTGACAGTCTTGAAAAGGTTAGAGATCAATCAATAGCTTGTGAATATGAAGGCCCCATTGACAAGGCTGTCCCTGTTGGGGAGAGAGATAGATGCATCCCGCTGTTGATTCTGAAGGTCACAAAACATTTAAAGTACATAAGCAACTCCCCTTATTCTGAATTCTAAGTTCATCGAGCAACCTCCTCATTATAATCAAGCTTCCTTTATAAGTCTGCCTACAGGGAAAGAATGGCTAGTCATGCTGACATGAACATTCTGGCCCCAAAGACATTTTTGGTTCTCATTGTAATGAAAACATTGGCAGAAAGGAAGCCATTTCAATTCTCTTTGCCCTTCTTGGAGCCCTCTGTGACAGCAGGTGCTCACTCCTCCACTTTGAAAATATTGATGAGTTTAGCGATACCTTTACCTATAAATGTCTACAGCCCAAAGGTTGGAGAAGTAGAATTGTGCACTTTTTCCATTCATTCACTCGTGAATTACTAATTTGGATAGGCTTTAGGGTGTACTTTGCAAGGGCCATCAAAGAAGAAATAAAGTGTAGCCTCCAGTATGTAGATTTTTAGAAAATAATTGTAACTAGCCCTTCCTCTGTTCTTACCTCTTCTATGTTTGAATTAGTTTATAAGCGTGAACATATTGTATATTAACATCATCAGAGGGGTCACTGGTTTTCAAATTCAGTTTGTATGTGCATTTTCTTCCTAGGCTCTTGGAATGACAGCATCCCAGGACCGAGCAGTGGTCAAAAAGAAACTCAAGGAAATGAAGATGTCTCTAGAGAAGGCTCGAAAGGCCCAAGAGAAAATGGAAAAACAAAGGGAAAAGCTAAGGAGAAAGGAACAGGAGCAAATGCAGAGGAAGTCCAAAAAGACAGAAAAGATGACGTCAACTGCAGCCGAGGGTGCTGGTGAGCAGTAACACATACCTTCTTACAGATGATGGAGATGCTCCAAGAGAAGTCCCCTGAAACTAAATGATAGGGGTAATGCGGCTGTAAGACCCATGTGTTGAATAACTGCATTTTCTGCAGTAGAATGCATTCTTAATTTTAACTACTAAAATAATCCTAAGCCACCTTTGGTTTATTAACAAACCAGAGATCTCATTTAAGTAGCTGTGTTTTACTCTTCTCTAGCTTACCAACATCTCGTGTTGTGTTGGGTGTGTTTTGTCACTTGGAGAACTAGTGTGACCCCACCCAACAAGAGCATGACACACCTTGGTGTTGTTAATGGAGCACCGTGAATTTTGAGTATGGGATCCTGAAATGGCAATTGCACATGTCTGCATGGCAGAGAGCAGCCTGCTATGAGATCTCGGACCAGTACTTATTTCTAGGGCTGCAAAACCTACTCCAATGTGTGAGAAAAGTTCCTTCTTAGAAATTCTGAGTCTGGACAGTAAGACCACCCCACTATGGAAACATGGGTGCTCTGCTATGTAGTTACCTACTAAGGGAAAAGGCAAGCAAGCCATTCTGCTTGCTAGACATCAAAAAGAAAGAAAAGAATTATAGCTATTTGTCAACCACTGAAAAAAGCAAAAGCCTTAAGAATGTGGACTGGGTATTCTTGAGGTTCTGAGGGTAACATTTATCCTCCAGATATAGCTGAACAAGAAAGAAAAAATCAGACATGAATGCAGCCATGGGATATTGGGATCTGTTGACCTTGCTACTGCTGTGTGTTCAGTATTTCAGCAACACTGGCAAACACAGCACAGTTCCTCTTCCCCCACCCACCCCAAGAAATTGAACAGGAAATTGATTTCTAAGGAAACCACCATTTTCAGGTTTCGTCTTCTGGGGAACATTCTGGCTGGTCTTCAGCCTGCCTATGACACAATCAGGAACTGGTCACATATTTTCTACTCAAGATTTCCCAGGTGGGCTCAGTTAGTGTTTTAACAAATGTACTTTTAAGAAAAATAGAAATACCAGTTAGAAGAAATTTAAATTTGAGTAACATTCAACCAGAGAACCAATTTTTTTGAGTACAAAGAATGTTCCTGTAAAGAAGGAAAAATCTCTCTAAAATGCTGTCCGTTAACATTTTGGATTTTGAATGGTTTTTCTGAGCCATTCCTTTCCATACCTCAAAGATTTCCAGTTCTACAGAAAAAGTTTAAGGCAGTGCATGAGATACACTTTAGTAGTGGAGAAACTTATACTAATTTTAAACCAGTATTAAGGATTTCAGTATTTCACCAAACTAAGTCAAGTGCAGACTGGGGCAGAAGAAGGAGAAAAACTCATTTTGAGAAATTTCATATGATGAGGCTTTATGGTTTTTTGTTTTTTATGCTCATGTATCTGGTTCTCTGCTGCATTGACTCTAAAAATGAGGTTATCCACTTTCTAAGGGGCAAGTTTCAGAATAAGACTGGAGGCCACATGAATTCTTGGACAAGTATTTTACTTCCTTTACTTATGAGGATCTCTGCTTTGTTCCCAGCATCGTCATATCTTCCACTAGAAGCATTCTATATGCAGAAGTTGGGTAAGAGCTTTGAGCATAACAGATTAAGGGAACTCCCTTCTAGCCCCATCTTGTATTTTAATAACATTGTGATATTTTTTGTTGTTAAAAAAAATTTTTTTGACTTATTTGAAACTCTGAATTCAGGAATTATTTAGACATTTTTAATTCTGTTCTTCCCCCAAAGATTGTTTCCTTTTCATTGCCAGAGTATTGTCTGTTATGCTTCAGCTCTTTTTTCATTAGGTACAGACCATTCATCCTCAGAAGCGTTGACATAAAGTAATATTGTGTTTTACAGTTATCATAGTCATCATTATGTTTTTCCGTCTATCATCTTCATTTGGGGTATGATAATGAAACTGCCATACTGGATACTCTTTAATATCTTGAGATGTCTGTTACTTTGTTATTTACTAACATCATGAAAAATAAGCAGCCACTATTAATGAGTGGTAAAATTTGGCAAAACTTTTCTAATACTAAAACACTAAATTAGTAAAAAATCTGGTAATACTAGTACTTTCTATTATAAATTTTTGCCAATCTTTGGGGAAAGAAGTGACCTGGATCACACTGGAAGTTTCACTGTATTCAAGAGTAGAAATAGAAGGATGATTATCTTAAGTTATGTTTACACTCTGGTGATATTTGAAAATGGATGTATATACTGGAAATGTCTGTTAAGTGTCTGTCTCTATGCCTAATTTATGATCTATTCTATTGCATTTTCTTAAATGTCTTAGAAGTATTCTTTATAATTTTGTACATTGAATGTGTAGATAAATGTCCAACTGACAATATTATAAATCAAATTCTTAGTTCTTAAATCATTTAGTATTATAACTATTTTGATTTTTTAAGTTAAATTATAGTAATTTTAGGCCTAAATGAGTTATTTTAACATTACTACTTAGATGAAATTGTAAGTCACTTGGTTTGATTATCCCACAAAGCATAAGATGTAAACTGATTGATTGATATTATGGTACAAAAACGAAGTGAAAGGCCTCAGATCTTGTATTTTGTTTTCTATTTCTTTTATTGACTGTAGTGCATGATGCCTAATCGAGGCTCCAATGTCTTGCACAATCCTACTTTAATGCTAGTGGTTTTCAGTGTCTTTATGATTTAACACAGAATTGTTACTTCATCAACCTTAACAACTTTGCAGTTTTTTTATTATAAGAAAATGAACAGAAAGGGAATGTCTGGTTGCTATGAAATAGGAAAGGAGAGCTCAGTATGACTCTAACAATAGCCAAAAGTGTTTTGGGGTCTAGGTTATACTTTGTTGGGAAGGAATGTGTGGTGAGATCAAGCTGCAGACAGAAAGCATTGTATGAGCTGTATCTGGGTCAGGGTTTTCCATCAAAAGATGTTAGTTTTGCGACAGATTACTTTAAGACCATCTCCCTTCAAGTAACTCACAGTTTATGTAATACTTAGCTCATTCTTTTTTTCTTTTTTTTCTTTTTGCCTGAATCAGAAATTACTGCAGAGTGTTAAGTTAGGGAAGAAACCTCATTTCATCCATTCTAACACTCCTGATGAAGTGCCCCTTTAGTTTCATGAGAATAAAGCTGTTCTGTGGCTGTCATCCTTTAGCTGGGATTGACATTGATTTCACACCCTCAGCATCACACAAGCTTTTTTAACCCACAGCAGTTCATGATTGCAGTATGATAGGTGCTAAAGCCAAACTCAGCTTTCAACCGGCACAAAATGGGACTGTCTACCTTTTGCTTGTTTGTCATTGGAAACAAAGTGGCAAAAGGGGAAAATGAGGAACCAAATTTACCTTTGCCACTATCTGTGACCCTATAGTCATCTCTAGCCTGAAATCTTAAAATATCTTAGGCCCAGGCTACAAAAATGGTCACAGGTAGTTTGATCTAGCACCTAAGCCATTTGTGCTGAAGACACAATTCTGGGTTCATTGTGCACCAGAATTAACATGTGCTTGAAAATTGCATTTGATGAAAGGGAAATGAAATTTTGTATTTATATGCATACTCTGATTCATGTTTAAGTGTTAAAGGTTATGCACACTAAACTTCAAGATGAAATCCAGTGTTTAACAATAGTGTTCAAGAGGATGCTAAAGGAAGTGTCCCAGCAAACCTAAGAGAGCCATCTATACTTTAGATAGGTTGTAGCCCCATCATTACACTGAGATATTTCCATTTGAGTAACTAAAGATACTCCTGACAGAGCTGAAGATGAGGGTCACTTTGGTGGACAGTAGTCACTAGGGTTCATGTCACCTGCTTAACGCAAAGACCTTAGTGGTCTCAGAATGAAAAGGTAAAATAGAAAAGAAAAGCGCAGTCTTTTTCTATCTTTTCAAATTTGCTTTTAATCAAGGATCTGCCTGTGCACTATTCTAAAGCTAAGAATTTAAGGATAAAGTCCAGAAATAAAATGTCCATATTTCTTTTGTTTTTGTTTTCTGTCATCTGTCACCCAGACTGGACTGCAGTGGTGCCATCATATCTCACTGCAGCCTCAAACTGCTGGGTTCAAGTGAGCCTCCTACTTCAGCTTCCCAAGTATCTGGGACTACAGGCATGTACCACCACCCCCAGCCAAAACATCTATGTTTTCTTTAATTTTCTTTTTTTGAGACGGAATCTTGCTCTGTCGCCAGGCTAGAGTTCAGTGGTGTGATCTTGGCTTACTGCAACTTCCGCCTCCCAGGTTCAAATGATTCTCCTGCCTCAGCCTCCTGAGTAGCTGGGACTACAGGTACGTGCCACCACACCAGTTAATTTTTTGCATTTTTAGTAGAGATGGAGTTTCACCATGTTAGCCAGGATGGTTTTGATCTCCTGACCTCGTGATCCATCCTCCTCAGCCTCCTAAAGTGCTGGGATTACAGGTATGAACCACCAAATATCCATATTTGCTATTAAAATGGCTTACATTAGGATGGGGGATGGGAAGCTGGGGGAGGACTGTACATTCCCAAAAGAAAGCAGTGTTATAGGAACTCCAAATGTGCTTCAGTGTTTCACTCCTCAAAGCAGCCCGAGTATGTTGGCAGATTTTGTTTGCATTTGTCTTGCGTATTTAAAGTCTCAGGAAATCTAGTCTTGGTTCAAAACACTGGGCAAAAAATAACACCAGACAAAACACATTTGAGTAACTTGAAGTAGCAGCATAGAATAGGCCCCACCAAGAAGCTGGAGGGGCAAAGAAAAAGCCAACAGAATCAGTTTCTCTTGGAAAGTGAAAGCGTCAAGTTCTATTTATGGTAGACAGAGGGTTTGTGTTTGCTTGTGCGTGGTGTCTGTGTGAGCCTATTGAGGGAATGGTAGTTACTTGAAGGTTCACATATGTAAGCATGTGGAGCCAGCACAGCCTGTGACCTGATTCCAGATCCTCAGAGTGGAGAAGGAAAGAAATATGATGATATCCAATGCTTGACCCTAATGCAACCCCAAAACTGCTAGGGATTCAACAACGGGTAAGATGTAAGGGATAAGAGAACAGACAACTTCTCAATAATGTGCATGCTGTTTGTGTAGATGTTCAGAACTACGTATGTGTGAATATAACTCCCACCTTACACATGCACACACACTACAATCACATGGCATCAAAAAATATATTGTGTATGGAAGTTGGTAAAGTCAGTCAGGACCTGGAGCCGTAATCATAGCCTTATTGCCACTTCTTGTGTTGTGTATACATTGAATGGCCCATAGATTTTAAGAGACTTTTTAATTGTAAGTATTTCTACTAAATGCACTTATCCTCCTATATGTTTATATATTTTGGTAAAATTGATTTATCAGATACTTGGTATTTTAGTAAGAAAATTTCCTCAAATATTTGGTTAATGCTTTGATGTCAAGATTGCATATTGCTGAGTTGGAACTCAGAAGAAATTTATGCAGCTTTGGGCATTGTCAACTGCAGACTGCAGTTTTCTTGGCTAAAAATTGCACTGTGTGTTCTTGTGAATTTGCTCAATTCTAAAATGACATAATTGGTGACTGTGATGCTTAAAGTCACTGACTGCTGGCTCTTTGATGGTGAATGCTGCCATCACATGATCATTTACTTACTTTTTGTGCAAGTGATGATGGCATTTTGGTTGTTGCCGAAAAAAAAAAAAAAAAAAAAAAAAAAAAACATAAGTGGTTAGGAGTATATGTTGTTGGAAGGTGTACACTTGTGTTACTTTCAACTATATTATTTATACACCCAGGTTTTCTGTTAAGGATATAATCATTAATTCATGAAAGAACAATTGGCCAGAAATAATTAAATTACTTTAAAAAGTGAGAATTAAGAGGCACTCCAGCCAGATGACACCTCCCAACAACATGAAATTTAGTTAGTGCTTAGTGAAATTCCTTAAATATATATTTATATTTTCTTCCACATTATTTAATGTCATAACTACTGCTTTTGTATTTTTAATGGTGTTGCAACCACTCGTACACCTGCTACATCTTACTGACAAAACTGGGCAGCTGAAAATAAAAGAGAATAAATTCTATTCCACTGTAAGAAGTTGAATTTCTTTTCAGCTTTCTTTGTATATCAGTAAAGAACAAGAATTGTTTGAAAATAATTTTAAGTCTGATAAGTATGGTTAGCATGTTACCTAAGCTTTTAAGTTGTACATTTTGATGTCTGATCATTTGCATGGAAGAGACAATAGTGTCACGTCTGAATTGTTCTCTTGTGCTTGGTTAATATGTACTTCTCTAGATTGTTCCTTTTCAAATGACATTCCTTACTCTTTGGTTTTCAGAGGCATTCAAGCAAAATATCACAGTGGTCCTTTGTTTTCTGACCAATCTAACAATACCTGTGATTAAATTTAATTTGTTAATGTAAATAAATTTCTTGCCAATGAGTATTGTTGTTAGACAACGAATGCAATAAAAAGAGAAATACTGAGATCTGTCGAAGTAATTTTTTTCCCTCTTCCATTTTCACCTTCAACTAAAACAAGCCTTCACTGGGTAAACCTGTATCAACTGTCAAAGCATAGCTGTCAATCAACAGCAAAGTGCACATTTTTCATGGAAATGAAACTAAAAATAAGCTTTAACTCTGGTAAAGTGTAAATTGGCAGCTAGAATTACATTTGAAAGCACAATTATGGAACTGGGCATAAAGTTAAAAGAAGAGCAAAGCTTGCACTTGAAGTTTCCTCACCCATCTTTTTGTTCCCTTGTCACTGCTTCACCATCAAAGTCTCTGATATCTCACAGCCAGAAAAACCTCTGTGACAAATCCATTAAGCAGTCAGCCTCACACAGCGAGGGGCAAGCTAAGAAAGAATCAGGTCCATCATGGAGTATGGGGTTATTTTAAACAATTTTCTTTGTAACAAACACCCTAAAAATTCAGAAGACTTGGATATAAAAACAAGTGAGGAGTATTAATTTCATTCATTCTTACAGATGCAAACTGTAATTTGTGACTAAATCTATGGCAATGCAAAAATTTAGATCTGCGAATCACAGAATACATGAATTGAGCTGTTTACCTCTTTTTCACAATGGATGTTATGAAATTTCTAACCAAACATGTCCCTTTTTGAGTGATCTTGAGTATGCGCTCTGTCAAATTGGATAGGCTTTTTGTTTCTTTGGTGGAATTTGCTTATTCTATCAAGAACAAGAAAGAACAGAATGTGGTTATTTTATTGAAGATTAGGGAGCCTAACTACTCAAGAGATTCTTTGTAAATAAGGAAATATGTGGGGTGGGTGGTGTCCCTAAGCACCATACTCATTGATAGTTTCAAGACAGCCTTTCAGAGAACCCAGTATCCTGGGCTGTGAGCAGTATCTGGGAATAATTGAGCCCTCATAGGGCACAGGATATTATGTCACTGGAATCATGACTAAAGTAACTCCAATCTTAATGTGAGGAAAGTGGTTTTTTGATCCAAAACAAAATGTTCCTGTTTATTACTTTAAGTCAGTGATCTTAAACTGTTGGTGGTTCTCAGTTTATTGGCAAAACATTTTCCCCAAAATGCCAGACTATTATCATGACAAGTGCCTTAGAAAAACTTTGTTTCTGGCCGGGCACGGTGGCTCATGCCTGTAATCCCAACACTTTGGGAGGCCGAGGCGGGTGGATCACCTGAGGTCAGGAATTTGAGACCAGCCTGGCAAACATGGTTGAATCCCATCTCTACTAAAAATACAAAAGTTAGCTGGGCATGGTGGCATGCGCCTATAGTCCCAGCTACTGGGGAGACTGAGATACGAGAATCGCTTGAACCTGGGAGGCAGAGGTTGCAGTGAGCCGAGATTGCACCACTGCACTCCAGCCTGGGCAACAGAGTGAAATTTGTCAAAAAACAAAACAAAACAAAAAAAAACTTCCTTTCTACAGTTATTGCCTTAACATCCCAATGAAGTCATTCAGCATGAAGGTTATACCTTCAAAAGAGACAAACAAATAAATGAAGATGGGTAACCTTTATATATCAGCTTCTATAACAAGACGATAAAGTCATGTTTTCTTTCTAGTCATGTCTCTCAGAAGATAGCCAAAGGTTGATCTTTTCAATTTGTTTACCTTTCTATTTTTTTTTCTTTTCAGCCTCCACAGCAAGTTTAAATATTAAA